AAAAAAAAAAAAAAAAAAAAAAAAAAAAAAAAACAAGGAATATCCAACTCTTCATGCGCAGCTACATCCCATGTCTTGGTTTCATCTGCTTGGCCAAGTTATGTCATTCTGTTGCCTACCGTAGTCACAGTCCTGAACAGCTGTCCATGTTTTGGGTTGGAGCAGGCAGTTGCAGGTCCGGATATACTGCAGCTAACGTCTTCAACCGAATGGAATGCTCGGTCATTATAGAGCTGTTTGGCCCAAAAATTTCAGCCTAGCTGTGGCGGTTATGTGAGGAATGAGCCCTCAGAAGGGGGGCCTTGCCGACATGCATATGTTCTGGGCTAAGGCCCCAGCAAGCCTCGTGCCCGCCCTAAGTGAAGGCGGGCCAGACCTGTGACCGCCCTAAGTGATGGCTGGTCAGAATATCCACGTACAGGCCTTTCTTTCAACATTTTTGTAAAGTGGGTATCTGACAGTTGCAGCACGCCAGTTGGTTGGAGTGCATCGTGGATCCCAGACTCCTGCGTGAAGCAGTTGAGCCCAGGGCCTCAGTTGGTTGAGCCCTGGGCGCAGGCCAGTACAGGCCGACACATCACACATTGGACGCTGGCCAATCAGAAAGCGGCATTGTCGTAGTAGAGGCCGAGCGTACCAATGGGAAACCGGGAAAGGTCTGCATCTGGACGGTAGCCCTGGCATAAGGGCCGCAACTGTACTTCCTGGGCCACATTTGTGGTGGGCCTGGGCGCAGCTACTGGGACACCAGCGCAGGCTCAAGGCAGGCCGCCCACACGCAACACTGGCATATAGGCAGAAGGGGCGAGTGGGCAGGGATCTTGGCCATTGCGGGCAATGCCGGCACGCTGCGCTAATGCGAGCTGCTGCGCTGCGCTAGGGTGCGAGACAGGCAGGCGCTAGGCGGTAGGGCGCTGCCTGTACACAGGGCGCTGGCGGCCATAGCCGGGATGCCTGAGGGCGCAGGGGAGGTGAGGGCGAAGGTGGTTCTTCGGAGGTGAAGGGCGGTTGGTGTTGCCCGATTGGGCTTGGACATTGACTCACGATTCTGCTGTATCATTCTCAAATGGATGGTTACTCGGTTCCATTGTGCTATCTGCTCTTGCTTTGACTACTCGGACTCCAGTGTGATTTTGCAATTTGGATTTCTGTGCTTCGTCCATATTCATGTTCCTTGCAGTTATGACCAGGCATTTTCTATTCGGGTGTAGCCGGTAGCCTCCTACCTTTGATGGTTTGAGGGTTCAGCTTTGGGCAAAACTGACAGTCGACAATTCACGTTTGGGGTTGCACAGCAGACCTATCAGTGAGGTGGTGGTGGCGGCTTAGGATGGTAGGGGGTTGATTGGGGTGATTATCTTAGCAATCTGTGGATTTGCAGGCAATGTTTTGACGTTTTCAAAAACACAAAGATGATGTTTTGAGATGATGGGTCTCATTGCCCTTTTTGCCAGTTCACTGCTATCGGGAGAGCATCGTCCGTCAGTTGATGGTGTGAACATTATGAAATCCAATCACTCATCATACTTGTTTTTGTATTCTGTGCAATGTACATCTTGCAGGTGCGGATCGGCTGGTTCGCCATTTCCATAAACACGGCGTCAAGATGGCTGTTGCAACAAGGTGTGCATGATGCACTCGAGATGAAATCATTTTCTGCTCCTGTTTCGCATTCTAGGCACTAATTTGCAGATCCTGCCCTCTCAGCTTCACGCTAGAACTGTCTAAGTTAGCACTGACGTCTTCTGTATGTGCTGCGTTTTTCATTGTACTGTGGTCTGTACTGTGGTCTGTACTGTGGTATGTACTCTGGTTTCTTCTGTTTTTTTAACATTTTTTTTTTTTTAATTTTTTTGTCCTGTGGGTTGTTCTGTTGTTTGGGCTGTGGTTTGTACTCTGGTCTCTTCTGGGGTTTGTTGTGTGGTTTGTTCTGTGTTGTGCTCTGTGGTTTGTACCGCGGTTCGTACGCTGGTCTGTTCTGTGGTTTGTTCTGTGGTTTATGGTGTGTTTTTTTCTGTGTTGTGTTCTGTGGTTTGTACCGTGGTTCGTACTCTGGTCTGTTCTGTGGTTTGTACTCTGGTCTGTTCTGTGGTTTGTTCCGTGGTTTGTTGTCTGGTTTGCAATGTGGTTTATGGTGTGGTTTGCACTGACGTTTTCCAAAGTTCACATACACGGTTCTTCAAGCTGAAAACTCAGAAACACACAGAGTTCATGTCTCTCATGCATCACGTTGTAACCGGGGATGATCCAGAAATACTCAAGGGGAAGCCATCACCTGACATCTTCCTTGTTGCAGCAAAGAGATTTGAGGTATGTCTTTCTCACAGTGATGGGTACAAGATGCCCTTCTTTGTTGACCTCAATTTGATATGCTAGCCACAGTGAGATCGCCAATCAATGGAAAGTAGAATCGCATTCTGTCACATTTGTGACTGCATTGTCGTTAACAGGGACTTCAGTCCAAACTCCCTTCTGTTACTGAACATGTTAACTCCTCCCCTTCCTTCTTCTTCTTTCTTCTTTTGTTTTTCTTCTTTCTTCTTACTTCTTTCATCTTACTTCTTTCATCTTACTTCTTTCGTCCAACTTCAGAGCGGTCTTTTGATGTTTTTTTTTTTTAATCTATAATCGAACAATGCATTATGGCAAGTCCCGTTTTTTTTTTCTTCGGGTGATGCGCTATGTGTGCTGCATTACCTCTTATTACAGACATCACACACCGTCTCTCTCTCTCTCTCTCTCTCTCTCTCTCTCTCTCTCTCTCTCTCTCTCTCTCTCTCTCTCTCTCTCTC